GGGGGGGGGGGGACGACAAAGGTGTCACAACCCTCTGAGGCCAGTCCACAGAACTGCCTGATACAAGCTTTCAGCACGCGAGCAGCTTGTTTATGGATGTGGCCACCAGGTGGCGGCAGAGAACAGGGCCCAGAGGCCTAGGCAAGGAAGGGAAACAGGTGTCCAGGCCAGGCTCCCTCTTATGTAAACTTGCATCCATTTCAGTCCCCGGACCTTCAGCGGCCCTCTCTCTAGGCCTCTGTGCTCTTTCTCCCTTTCTGTTCCACTCCAGGCACATAACCAAGCCGACAGCCATGGGCCTAGTTTGCTGCACATCCGGCCTCTAGGTAATGCAGCGTTTGGAGCAAGAGGGTGGGCGAGCCAATGGTAGGCATGCGGTGCTCACGTGGCTCCCATTTGTCTTTGGTGCCTTTCATTCTGACGTTTGGAATTTCCACGGCTCTGCTGGATGCTCCTATCTGGATTACTTCATTGAACAAACATGTACTGATGTCCTACTTTCCATCTGGGCCAGGCATAATGGATACAGAGATGCCTTCTGNGGTGGAGGAGGGGACGCGCAGGCAAATCATTACAATCCAGTGGGTGAGTAAGCGCCGTAGAGAGCTGTATACTAACCCTCCCTGGGGCGGGGGAGGGGGGCTGTACAGAATGCAAGGGATGCTTCTTCAGAGGTGTTCCTTTTGAGTGAGATGTTCCCTTTGAGTCTGGCAATTGGCCAGGCAAAAGGCAAGAGGAGGGAAAAGGTGTTTCGGTTAGAGGCACAAAGACGTAGAACACAACCCGCAAGTTCAAGGAACTGCACGCTGCTCAGGCTGGAGCGAGTGTGTAAGGAGGCGAGAGAAGACAGTGGAGGGGCCAGGCCAGGGCTGATGGGAACAGGGGCTCGAAGGATGTTACGGTGGAGGTGGGGCTGGGGTGGGGAGAGCACCGCAGGAGTCCTGCAGGAGCCTCAGACACATTCAAGAACGAATTCCCCCCATTTCCCTCCTGACCCTCCTGTGTTGCTGGAAAAGGCACCAGTGCTTCGAGCCTGAGAGTTACCTACGCTGTGCATTTGCATTCAGTAACTCCACACGTCCCACGGAATCCACCCCAGTTTTCCTGATAATAAAAGGGCTAGTAAAAGCCTCCCTACCATCTGCCCAGGACCTCTCCCATCCTCTCTACATTCCCACTGACATTTACTTTCCTAACTTCCCAGTGTAAATGTTTTCAAAACGGTCCCATTGCCTTTAGGACTAAGCCACACTCCAACGCCAATGCCTCTCTCCAGCCTCTTCCCCTCGAGTCCCCTTCCCACTCCAGGGTCCACTCAAGCCGGACCGTCCAATGCTCCCAGCACGCCCCACGCAGTCGAGCCTCTGGGCTTTGATGTGGTGCTTGCTCTGTCGGAAGGGCTCCTGCTTCCGCCTGGCAGGCTCCCGCTCCTTTACCCCTCGAGCTCGGCTCAGATGGCCCATCTTTTAAAGCTGTTTCCCACCCTCCTCTGCCTCCAGGCAGAGCCAGTCACTTGCTTAACTCTGTTCCTGGAGCAGGTAGCAACTGCTACCTGTGTGACATACTATGACTTCCTCAAGGAAAGAAAGCCTCATTCATTTTCCTCCTCAGCACCAGATCAGTGCCTGTCACATAGTAAATAATGAATAAATGTTGAATGGACAATAGGAGAATGCAGAAGAGCGTGGGTGTCGCCATCCCCTTTCCTGAGCTTAGCGTAAACCCTTTGGGTCAGCAGATCAAGGCCCCTCCCCTCCCCTTTCCGAACCCACTAGCTGCCTCCGGACTGCTCACTGCCCAGGCGCCCTCCCCTCTGACTCGCAGAGCCACGCGCTCCTCCCTAAGCGTATCCCCAGTGGTCTGAGCTCCAGCCCGGCTTGCGTTGTCCACCTTTCCCTGGGACGCTTCCTTGGTGCCTCAGACTCACACACATGATGCAAAACAAGCCTTTTTGGTCCACAGAGGTGTCGCAGGTCCTCGAGTTCTCCTTTCCACGTCACCACGCCTTCCTCTGCTCCCACACACTTCACGCCCCCATCGCCGCACGCTCTCTGCCTTGTGCTAAAGCCGCTTGGGTCTGAGTCTTTCCCCTGCTACCAGACCCTGTGCTCCCAGGAGGCAGAGGGCCTGTCCTGTGCTCCGGCCTAGAGCCTGGCATGTGGTAGATAACACCGAGGCGCATCGGG